TCACCTGTGTCTTTAGTCTCACCTGTGTCGTTAGTTCACCTGTGTCGTTAGTCTCACCTGTCTCTTAAGTCTCACCTGTGTCTTTAGTCTCATCTGTCTCTTTAGTCTCACTTGTGTCTTTAGTCTCACCTGTGTCTTTAGTCTCACCTGTGTCTTTAGTCTCACCTGTCTCGCTAGTCTCACCTGTCTCTTAAGTCTCACCTGTGTCTTTAGTCTCACCTGTGTCTTTAGTCTCACCTGTCTCTTAAGTCTCACCTGTCTCTTAAGTCTCACCTGTGTCTTTAGTCTCACCTGTCTCGTTAGTCTCACCTGTCTCTTAAGTCTCACCTGTGTCTTTAGTCTCACCTGTGTCTTTAGTCTCACCTGTCTCTTAAGTCTCACCTGTGTCTTTAGTCTCACCTGTCTCTTAAGTCTCACCTGTGTCTTTAGTCTCACCTGTCTCTTTAGACTCACCTGTCTCTTTAGTCTCACCTGTGTCCATATCTTCAACCAGGTCCAGCTGCCTTTGGATGAAGTTAATTCACCATGACCTGGATGTCGGAGAACCTGCACAGACTTCTTACCGAGTTCATATTTAACTTTGCTCGTTTGATCGAGTACTAACTTATTTATTTTGACACATCCTGTTGTTGCAGATGCACCTGATATTCCCTGCAGTTCACCAAACGTCCACCAGTGTCACTAGAAACAACAGTCCTTTCACATTCACCGCAGCTCTTTAAAGGCTTTATATGCGGTTTTTCACACTTAAATGTAGAAATCAAGTATATCCTCTGAAAATAACTCTGTGAGTCATGACTGTCTACAATGGGTGTAACACCCGAGTCCCACTGTCTGTGATGTTTTCAGAGTTTTCAGAGTCCTTTCTTCACTTTGTTTACATCGCCTGGACGGCCAGCTGACTCCTCCCCTCACGTATAAAAGTTGTTTAATTGAAGGACTAGAGAAAAGAAGAATAACATACTGTACTCACTGCTTAACTGTGTTTCTAGATCACGCTCATTTCAGGTAAATTTACATGCAGTGTGAAGATACCAGCATAATAAAGATCGCTAGCATTAGCATGCTAACACAACAATGCAGCGCGAGTTGTTTTGGTTTCATGCTGGTGCTCAAGGGCGACATCTGCTGGATCCAAAAATCACATATAAAGCCTTTAAAGAACAAAAATAAAAACACCAAACTCAGAACATTTTCATGTTTCCATTTTTATTACTAAAAAAGGCACCAGATACTTGCTTCATGTCCAAAACATCGTGGTTATTCTCCATAAAATGATAGCACCAAAAATATATTGTTAAATATTTCATCATCCCCCAAACAAGCACAGCTCCTGATTGGATGTTTGAGGCACGTTTAAAGATACAGGAGGCAGATCTGACACGTCAACACTCCTTGACGTACGCACACACACACTCGTTAAAACCCGTCTCAGTGCTCTGTAACCAGTGTCAGACATACAGTAACGTTCACATCAGTAGTCGAGGGTAACATAAAACATAATGAGAAAATCATTAGAGAAGAATATATCAAATAAAAATGAAAAAAAGATGCGAGCGGGTTAATAAAAAGAGTGAGGAGTTCTTGTGTTTGTGCAGGAAGACACTCGTTATAAAACTATAAAATACATCGTATTAAAAAGTGATGATGATGATGAGTGTTAAGGCTGAAGCTCTCAGACATCGACGATCACACTGAGACACAGAAACACTTTGATTGTTGATACTGAAACCATGAATACTGCGCGGCACGTTTTCCCGTCAGCTGATCCTTGTCGTCTCGTCTGACGAGACACGAAAACGTTTCAAAGTTTGAAAAAAATAAAGTTCATGCGTGACTAAAGCTACGGCATAATCGCACTTTGATAGGTATCGTTCATGTTTGTTCATATGTCTACGGTGGCTGAGAGGGACGATCCACCTCCCTGCAGCCTGTTGCTCTGAGCGCCCCCTGCAGGCTTTGATCGCCACTCTCTGCCGCCGTATATTTCACTCTGTCCTCTTTCCTCCTCGGACGTCAGCAGCTCGCCGTGTGCGTGTGTTTAACGCTCACAGCTCTCAGAAGCAGCTGCAGCCCCGTGAAGACGTCGCTCCACAGGAGAAGCTCCGCCTCTTTCACACATGCACTCATGATCCGGCTGCATGTCCAATGTTTCAGCTCCACTTTAAGGGGGCCGGTTATCTGCAGACTCCTGTAAAAAGTCTGGAACATCCAGGGCCAACAAGTGGGTGGGGCGATGACTTGTTCATGATGGGCGGAGCTTATCTGCTTTATACTCTGCATACTGCTCGCCTCAGATGTGTCCAGGATCTTTATACATGTTAATATTTACTGAACAGTCCTCCTCCTGCAACGTGCTGAACGGTGACGAGGGTTCAGTGAATGGATTATTCTGAGCTGCGAGCACAAACGATGAAACCCTGAATGTATCCGGGCCTGATTGTCCCGATGATCCAGAAGGCATCAGGAGTGATGTGTGAAAGAGGCTTCAGAGAACAGGAGCTCCTCCTCTCAGGCTAACACTCCACAGTGGAGACTAAAACAGTGAAATGACTGAACGCAGCAGAGACGATCAGCAGTGAGTGAGCGACCATCTACAGACGGCGTTCATATCAAACGGGTGAAATAAACAAGATGAAGATGACCGTTTGTGGTTCCTGAGTCAGCGGCTAACGCGGCTAAATGAGAAAACTCTTCTTCTCTCTCTTCCCTTTTTAAAAGTGGTAAAAAAAAATACAATATGCAGGTACAAACGCTTCTACAAAATACTTAATTCAGTCCTCTTTCCTTCTATCTCCACTCCTCTCCTGTCTCCTTCTCTCTCCACTCCTCTCCTCCTCTCTCCTCTCCTCTCCTGTCTCCTTCTCTCTCCTCTCCTCTCCTCTCCTCTCCTCTCCTCTCCTCTCCTCTCCTCAGACCTCTGTGCCGTCGCTCAGGTTGTTTTGCAGCTTCACCTCCAGGTTCACCTGTTTGACTTTGGGGCGGGGCTCCTGCTGGCGGTTCAGGATGTTGATGTTCCTGACGGTGCAGTGTTTGGAGCTGAAGTTCTTCTCCATACACTTGTCCATACACACCTCCACCTTGGTGTTCAGCGGATACTCCTCGTACGATTTCTCCGCCATCTTCGTCTTCAAAGCGGCACGTCTGCAGCGGCGGAACACGAAACAGGAAGCCAGCACGACCAGGACCAACAGGGTGACGGCAGCCACGCCCCCTCCCACTGTGCTGCCCATATGGGCGTTGAAGGTGCCTGAAGGCCCCGCCTCCAGGCGCAGTGACTTCATGTTGGTACCGTTCTTCACCTGGTCGCCCTCGTTGTCGTAGATCAAAGACTCGTCGAGCGTCAGACGCCCGCTGCGGTCCACCAGGTCACGCCTGACGCGGCTCAGCTCGTACGTCACTGAGCGCTGAATCCTCGGGCTGGACCGAGACTCTGGACCAATCACGTAGATCACCTGCAGGTACCACTGATGCCCCGCCTCCACCTGTCAATCACAAGAGAGAGGAGAGTTGAGTGACTGTCCTGAAGGATATATAAATATTATCGGCCACATCATGAAACCACAGAATTCAACATGCTGTCCGACATCTCTCATCAAAATAAATCACTGCATCAGAGAGACTACATTACCCACAATGCAACCTGTGCTTACAGCTCCGGTCTAACCGCCAGCCATTACAATCTTTAAGGTTGAAGCATGCCTTGTGCTGTGGCTCCACCCACCTTGTAGAGAGCGTCGACCTTCATGGTGAAGCCATCGACTCCCGGCATGGCGCTCACGGCGTGCAGCTCGGGGACGTCCGAGGCCAAATGAGCCTCGAAGGGAACGTCGTGGAAAAACTTGTCACAGACGTCGGGCTGCTTACGATCCTACAGGGAGAGAGGGAGAAGTTTAACATCGTGACTCCACAGAATAAAACACTCTGACTGTCAGCTGGACCCTTTCCGGCTTTTTTTTTTTTTTACTAAACCTCTGTAACTAAGCTCCGCCCCCATCACGACTCTGTAGGTTCATATTGATTCTGTGATTGTGTAGTATTGGCGTCCCAGTCTGTGAGGTCACACACACACACGCACACACACACACACACACACACACACACACACACACACACACACACACACACACACACACACACACACACACACACACACACACACACACAGTCAGACACGGACACACACACAGTCAGACACGGACACACACACACACACACACACGCACACACGCACACACACACACACACACACACACACACACACACACACACACAGTCAGACACACACACACACACACACACACACACACACACACACACACACACACACACACACACACACACACACACACACACACACACACACACACACAGTCAGACACGGACACACACACAGTCAGACACGGACACACACACACACACACGCACGCACGCACGCACGCACGCACGCACGCACGCACGCACGCACGCACGCACGCACGCACGCACGCACGCACGCACGCACACACACTCTCCTCCGCTGGCTCAGCTGATCCCCTCTCTCCTCTGTAACGCCTCTAAAGACGGTACAAAGCGGGCGTGAATATCACGCTGGACGGCGGTCTGAGCAGGGCTGGTGACACTCACTCTGACTGTGTTTGAAAAACATCCTGGACCATCCCACTGACACGTGACACTGGGCAGACTGGTTCAACTGGTTTACAACAGCAGTTTGTCTGTGTGTGTGTGTGTGTGTGGGTGTGTCAGTCAAAGGGCAGGGTTGAATAAACAGCTGAGGGGGAGTAGGGGGGTCAGGGAGGGGGGCTGGGGTCAGGGTTATGCAGACAGGAGAGATGTTTGCGTCTACCAGCAGCAGGAAGCGGTGCTTCAGGTGTTTGTTGGGCTGGATGCAGCCGTACTGCGGACCCTCGTTGTACAGCGTCCCCGTCGGGTCAAAGAAGGGAACGTATCCATCTCTACCTGTGCACAGGTAAACCTTCTCCAGCTGCAGCTTGTACGCTGCATTCAGGTTCTGCTCCGGGTTCCACAGCACCCTGCCGTACAGAGTCTGACCTGCAGGGGGCAGCACAGACTGAGATTCAGTACTTTGACACTTTACAGCAACCACATGTTATTTACTGTACAGAAACCAGGTTTCTAAAAGTCTGTTTGAACTGGTCCAGCTCGGGTCCCTCCTCATACTTTAACCCTGACTGACGTACCCATGGAGAAGGCGCCCTTGTAGTCCATCTCGGCCATGGAGACGTCGGCGGTGGCCGGGTCCATCATGAACACCTTCTCGTTGTTACACAGCTGAAACTCGGTGTTCAGAGAGTAGACCACGGGAACCGGTCTGTTGGTCTGCTGGAAGGCAATGGGCACCAGAAACCTGATGGGGGAACAGGAGAGGGTCAGCTGAGCTGCTGTCCCATGATGCATCTGGAGCCTTTAAATATAATCAGTTATACTGAATCAGGGTCATACTTCTCTGGAGCGTGGGCGGTGCAGGACAGCGGTTTGTCTCCAGGGTCGATCCAGGGCTGAGTGGGCTGAACGGTGCACGGGATCAGGAACACCGTGTACTCTCCTGAATAATCCTTCCTGTTGATGAAGACCAAATAAAACCGTCATCACTCTCTACATCACTGTCCAGTCCGTGACATCACTGTCCAGTCCGTGACATCACTGTCCAGTCCGTGACATCACTGTCCAGTCCATGTCGTGCGCCCCTGATGAATACAGAACGTTAATCTGGACTCTGGGATCTGACCTGCTGTAGGAGCTGGTTGCTCTCCACAGCTGATACGGAGAGTCGAAGGTCTGAGCGCTCCACAGCAGCTGGATGTCGAACTCGATTCCTCCCAGGTGATCCGGAGCCATCAGGTGAGACTTATGACCGGGCAGCGTGTGGTGTTCAGGGACAAACTGACCTGTAGGAAAAGTCATGACTGTTCATTATCTCTGAAGACTAACCAACGGGCTGTTCCTTTAAAGAACCAGATTTCATAAACGCACCTCTGAACTTGGCGTGTGTTTTGAACTCGATGACCAGTCGGCCGTCCTCTCTGATGTAGATCCTGATGATCTGCAGCCGGGCTGACAGGACGCTGTCAGTCTGGATACCTGCACACAGGAAGACCCGCCCACAGGAAACAGAGGTCACATGAGATTACTCATCAGGGTCGTCTCAGTCGGGGTCGTCTCAGTCGGGGTCATCTCATAGTCGGGGTCGTCTAGTCAGGGTCGTCTCAGTCGGGGTCGTCTCATAGTCGGGTCGTCTCATAGTCGGGGTCGTCTCAGTCGGGTTCATCTCATAGTCGGGGTCGTCTCAGTCAGGGTCGTCTCAGTCAGGGTCGTCTCAGTCGGGGTCGTCTCATAGTCGGGGTCGTCTCAGTCGGGGTCGTCTCATAGTCGGGGTCGTCTCATAGTCGGGGTCGTCTCAGTCGGGGTCGTCTCATAGTCGGGGTCATCTCATAGTCGGGGTCGTCTTAGTCAGGGTCGTCTCAGTCGGGGTCGTCTCATAGTCGGGGTCGTCTCATAGTCGGGGTCGTCTCAGTCGGGTTCATCTCATAGTCGGGGTCGTCTCAGTCGGGTTCATCTCATAGTCGGGGTCGTCTCATAGTCGGGTCGTCTCATAGTCGGGGTCGTCTCAGTCGGGTTCATCTCATAGTCGGGGTCGTCTCAGTCAGGGTCGTCTCATAGTCGGGGTCGTCTCAGTCGGGGTCGTCTCATAGTCGGGGTCGTCTCAGTCGGGGTCGTCTCAGTCAGGGTCGTCTCATAGTCACGGTCGTCTCATAGTCGGGGTCGTCTCATAGTCGGGGTCGTCTCATAGTCGGGGTCGTCTCATAGTCGGGGTCGTCTCAGTCAGGGTCGTCTCAGTCAGGGTCGTCTCATAGTCGGGGTCGTCTATAGTCGGGGTCGTCTTATAGTCGGGGTCGTCTCAGTCAGGGTCGTCTCAGTCAGGGTCGTCTCATAGTCGGGGTCGTCTCAGTCGGGGTCGTCTCATAGTCGGGGTCGTCTCATAGTCGGGTCGTCTCAGTCGGGTCGTCTCATAGTCGGGTCGTCTCATAGTCGGGGTCGTCTCAGTCAGGGTCGTCTCAGTCAGGGTCGTCTCATAGTCGGGTCGTCTCAGTCGGGGTCGTCTCATAGTCGGGGTCGTCTCAGTCAGGGTCGTCTCATAGTCGGGCTCGTCTCAGTCGGGGTCGTCTCAGTCAGGGTCGTCTCATAGTCACGGTCGTCTCATAGTCGGTCGTCTCATAGTCGGGGTCGTCTCATAGTCGGGGTCGTCTCATAGTCGGGGTCGTCTCAGTCGGGTCGTCTCAGTCAGGGTCGTCTCAGTCAGGGTCGTCTCATAGCGGGGTCGTCTTATAGTCGGGGTCGTCTTATAGTCGGGTCGTCTCAGTCAGGGTCGTCTCAGTCAGGGTCGTCTCATATCGGGTCGTCTCAGTCGGGGTCGTCTCATAGTCGGGGTCGTCTCATAGTCGGGTCGTCTCAGTCGGGGTCGTCTCATAGTCGGGGTCGTCTCATAATCGAGGTCGTCTCATAGTCGGGGTCGTCTCATAATCGAGGTCGTCTCATAATCGGGGTCGTCTCATAGTCGGGGTCGTCTCATAGTCGCGGTCGTCTCAGTCGGGTCGTCTCAGTCGGGGTCGTCTCATAGTCAGGGTCGTCTCAGTCGGGGTCGTCTCAGTCGGTCGTCTCAGTCGG